AAATACTTAGATAGGAAAGATAAAAAAATATATATAGGTAGGTAATACCTTTCTGCAGTAACGGAAGCTGCAGTTTCAGGACCCTAGAAGTCAAATACTACTTTCTATTATAGTTTTAAATGTTTATTCCACCCAAATACTACTTTCTTTATCCAAGTACTTAATTGTTATAAACGTTTATCCCACCCAAATACTACTTTATCCACATACTGTCTCGATAACATTGAAGCTACTCTCATGAATAATTAACATAAACAGATGTATGCATTTCATTGTTAATATGAAATACTTAGTTTGTTACCCCAGGTTTGGTCGTATCAGAAAAATAGATTTAAAGTAACGTTATAACTTAAATAGACAGTGAATGCTTGTTGTCCTGTGATACTTTTTTATACATTAAATTATTTTCAAATAATTAGAAATAAAAGGCTTTAAACTAACAGTTTTGTTTAATCATATAACAATAGCAATCCCAATCCTTTTGGTCCATTATTTTTGAGTATGTAGTGTACCCTTGATGGTACTTTTTGTATTTTTGTAGTCTCCTGTTTTTGTAGCCCCTAATATATACTGTCAATGATATAGCCTGGGTCCATATCTTTGAATTGCCATTCACATCCTTGACTTTTTTAGCTATTTAAGTATATGAATAATACATGGATATTAAAGTCAAATAAAAATGGTAATTCAGTCTCAATATTTTTCTTTTTTTTTTACTCTACTACCATTGAAATTTCATTCTAATCTAAGAAGCCTTTAAAGTCACATTGCATTAGCCTAAATTCAATGTGTCAGATATTTCCCCTATATGGCTGATCAAAACCTGAAATGTTAGTTCAGGGAAAACTAGTCTACAGTATTAATATGCATTTGTCTTGTTCGAAGCCAGATGTGTTTGGTGTGATGTAAAACAGATTTTTTCATTAATCAGATTTCAAAGATACCTGAGCTGTCACACTTTTTATGAAACAGACAATCGCGTGCAGACTTGCATGGCAAACAGATGTGTATCGAATGAGACCTTCCGGTGTCTGTGATATTAGATCACAAGCAATCAGAAATCTGCCAAATGTGCACTGTGTGCCAAGTTGCTTTTAGAATCATGGCAGTATAATATTAGTTACATTAATCAAACCCAGCAGACTGTCTTTTGGTCTTCATGCTCTGTATTGCCTTTGGTATTAAATTGTCACACAGCTAGACACAATACCATGGTTAAGAGCCATCGTTCTGCATCAAATATTAATGGATTGACTGTTCCTGACATGTTTACCCTTCTTTTCTGTTTAGTCTAACACAGAAGAATGAAACAACAAACAGTCTGACCGCATTTCAGGAATTCTTGTCTCGCTGTTGACGACAGTCTAGATAAAATGTGTTCACAATACATAAAGTTCCGTTGTTTTCTATGTTTTTGTCAGTTCTAAATACAGTCAGAGAAATTAGAAATGAAAATCTAATATTTTAAATATGGTCTTCCAGGTGTATCCAGGCAGTTCAGCAGCCAACATAACATTTTATTGAGCATTCCCTGAATGGATGACAACTTCAAGAGATACACTGGGGACCTGGTGACATGGATGTCAGGTAACGACACCCTGAAGCTCGCAGTGCTTCTTAGACTGACAGACTTTCCATATTTGACATAGTGTAAGTTTTTTAATAGTTGCATGGTGTGATTTTCAGGTATGAAGCCCAAACTTTTTTCCTGGCAGAACAGGAACACAAGTTGGCTCACTACAGCAGCTGGAGATGAATACAAAGAGAGGAATCCTGCTTGTGGTGAGAGATATATTCAAACTGTGTTTTTGCACTCTATGTGTCAAGATAACCTCTTAAAACCCAAAGAGATTTTTGCTTGGCAGAATTGTAAGCCAAGTAAAAAAAACAACCCCTAAGTAGGCTATCCATAATATATTTGCAAAAGCATGCCTTACTCAAACATTTTCATCATAAATTATACGTTGGCTTTGTGTTGCAGACTATCTTTCATTCTTTTATTTAACTTGATACCTCTTTAAACGCTCCAAAAGTGAAGTAAACCCCATTTCATTGAAATATTTAAAGGGTCAGTCCACTCAAATCACAAAAAAACATTATTTTCTCTTTTCTCTATTGTGATCAAGCCATGGAAATGGTTTTGGTTTTCTTTACAAAGGTTTTTTTTAGACTTCCCTTTGAGATTTTCTTTGTGCTGACCAACACTTCACATCTGACAAAGTCAATGGCGGGCATGTCGTTCCAACAACAATGTCCCTGTTTCTCTGGATAATCCACAGACCCTATTGTCAATACTTTTTATTGGGACTATTTATTCGGTAGAATGTAGTTCCAATCCAGCAACCATAATGTATCAGTGGGTTTCAAAAAATGTGTTAACCAATGCCAGAACTCCTCTTTTAATACAAAAGTTGCTTAGATTTCAAGTTTTCACATCAGGCAGTGTATTTGCAAGGAAATATGCACACCCCCAGTTTCCCCTGAAATAACCACTGAACACTATTCACTTTATTATTTTTCTTGGCATCCAAATAACAGAAGGAATCTCAAACTCTGAAAAAACGTTTGCGCATTTGGCAATATATTTAATATTTAGTACCGATACTTAATCTTTGTTAATTATACATTTGATAGATTTGAAAGTACTAAATAATCTACTACAATCAGTGTTTAACCCAAGGCTGCACAGATGAAACAATGATTATACACAGACCAGCCTCATACACAACAAACAGTGATGCACTGTGTATTCTGACCAATGACAGTATATATAATGGACAGAGCTTCCAGGTCTGAAAAGTGAAGCCAACGCAAGTGTCTTAAAACTTGCATTCTATGTAAAATCCAGCAGGGGGCGCTCCATTGGCTGCAATAACACACGGATCCCATTCACTTTAATGGAGAATGAGCTGACTTGACACTTAATTTATGAGCTCAGTAAACAGTTTCCTGATGAGTTTAGGGTCTCAGTCGCTAGTTTCTCTTTTTCAATACATTATGATGTTCATTTAGTAAATTATGGTCTAATTTAGAGTAAAATACACGTTAAAGTCGCGTATGCTTTTGGGCGGGGCTACCTTTTGATTGACAGATCACTCTCAGTGAGTCCATGAAATCCCATCAAACTGTCAAAGTAGGCAGTGCTGATCAAATACGAAGCTAGATTCTGTTACTGCGTTGACTATTTTTTGCTAAAAATCGTTTCAGAAACATATTTTAGTGTACTATTTAGTCGTTATAATCACTATTTGGCCCTTGTCAAAGTCGCTGAAATCTTCACGCTGCCAATTTTTTCTGCTTCTAACACATCACCTTTGAGGACAAAATGTTTACTTGCTGTCTGATATATCCCACGCACAGGTGCCATGATAACCAGATAATCAGTGTTATTCACCTCACCTGTCAGTGCTCATAATGTTATGGTTGATCGGTGTATGTTCAGGGACTTTTTCTGTGCCAGCATGTACATGTAGGTTTTTAATTAAAAAAGTATATGCATATAGTTTGTTTCTTTTATACTGATTTATATTAAAATTCTGGTGTCGTGACAGCCTTTTTCTTGGACAGGTAAGCAACCTAATTAGCCAACATTAGCCAAATAAACTAAGCTAAGCTAACCTGGACTGGGGATGTTTTTTAGTGGTGGAAAGAGCACTTTGGGGAGCTTCTGAACCTGACCTGAAGACTGGGGGGAAGCCAAACCCATATCCCTAGCAGAGGTTGCAGAGGTTGCTGAGGTAGAGATGCTGAAGGTTCTGGACACTGTTGAGCTGTCTTGGCTGATCCTCCTCTTCAGTGTCGTGTGGAGGTCAAGGACAGTACCTGTGGAGTGGCAGACTGGGGTGGTGGTTTTTCAAAAAGAGGGACCAGAGGGTGAGCTTTAATTATTGGGGTATCATTCCTCAGTCTCCCTGGTGAGATGTATTCTAGAAAAAAACGTAGGCTTATATCTGTGTGGATTTAATTCAGAGAAAGTGCGATATTGTGGTGAGTTGCTTGAGGTCCTAACCCTCTTTCGCAATCATCTGGGGGTTCCGTACTATGGTCTGCAAACACAGAATTCCCCACGTTGCATAACCACCGATTTCCTCTGGGGAAATGAAGGTTTACGGCCCTGAAATGTATCAAGTTCAGCTGCGTGTTCCCCCTCCCCTGCAGGGCCTCCCCTTTCTCCCGCTGCCCCAAGACCACCTCTCTACATCGCACGAGACTCCCCAGCCTCTCTCCCTGTTTATCTTCACTTGCCTTCCTTTCTCATCCTTCCCCTTTCTGTTTGTCTCACTCCATCCTTCCCTGCAGCCCTTTTTACAACCAGTGTCAGACTTCTTTCAACCTCCTTGTAGACGTTGCCCTTGTCTGCACATGTTGTTTGTAATATGGGACACATGTGGTTTTCTGTTTTCATGCTTCCACACAAATGCAAATATAATACTGCTGTTGTAGATCATTGCACTGAATAGTAAATCATTGTCACTGTGTCATTATTCATCCCAGCAGGTCCATCAAACTGCACAGTAGCTCTTATCTTATCTTATCTTATTTTTTGAGCAAAGGAAATGAAGTATAAACATATAAACAGTTGAATAACGCTACTCTAACGCTACATTGGACCTAGTAATCTGATAATCAATTACCAAATTATTGATAATATAAAATAAGAACAATTTAGACATTTGCTGTGTAAACAGTTTACTTGCATACATTCAGTGATGACATAACAAGGCTGTATTGAAAAAAAACTCTTTGTCATTGCTGGCAGGAGTATAGCGGCTTTCATCATTTTGCTATCTGATAACTCTAATGAACAGCAGATGAAGAAAAGTGCACGGGAATCCCACATTTTGTAAAAAGAAGAAGTATTAAAAAAGTAAGATAGTGATTTGTGATTTCAGGAGCTTTTTATTAAACAAAATTTGTCTCTCTTGGAACACCTTGTAAGTATAATTTATGTGTCTGGCGTGCCTGTGTTGCGTCTTTTCTCTTGGAAGTCTGTTAGCTTCATGTCTATGACAGTTCTCTTTCATTCTCACTGGCTTCAGCCTCGCCTCGTCCTGCTGGGAATACACAACCTTGAGTCTGAAATGTGTTTACATTTTGAGCATGTTACAAATTATCTGCTAAGACTAACTTTGCGTGACTTGGCAGAAGCCTTCACCTTGCTCAGATGTTGTTTGGGTCAAATGTATTTCAGGGGTTGACTGGGTTTCAGGGAATTTGACTGTCTTTATCTGACAGGGGTTCTCCAAGCCAGATGTGAACCCAGGCAAAAGGTAAAACTCATGCTCTGTGTTGGTGTGTGTGTGTGTGTGTGTCTGTGTGCTTAAATATATTTTTGTATGAGCGTATGGTGTAGGCAACCTGCCAATATGTCTGCGATAGTTTTCTGCACTGACAAGACTCCACTTATACTAATACTAATACAATATAAACTCAGAGGGAATTAATGTGACATTTGACCATGTCGATATTTTTATCTTCCATCATAAATTAATAGATTTATCCTTGAGTTGTATTACCACATCTCAACCTCCCTTATCAGATTGAGTGATCTTATTCATTTATATCCCATGTCGAGGATTGTCTAAGGACACTAAAGTTTTCCCAGAATGTTTCTTAGCCATGTGTATTAAATCTTCTTAAAGAAAACATCAACAGATTTAATTATCTTGTCATTAAATCAGCTAAACTGGGAAATGGACTGCTTAATATCTCCAGAGGACTGCAGTAATATCAGAGTTGGAAACACTGTAGTTGCTTAATGTGTAATACATTTTCTCTACAGGCTTGTACGAATGATAGAATTAAAGGCTGAATAACCCTAATTTTATCAAAGATTAGGTTAGACTAATCCTCGAACAGACATTTTCTAATAAGATTGAAATCACACCAAATAACAGATCACACATTTTGTACTTATTTATCATAATACAATTTTATCATGTACCAGAAATGAGTCCAAATCACTTGAGATTACAGATATTTAAAAAGTTGTTATTGAATAACAAGGTCATCTTTCTCAGTAATGATCGGCATGCAAATTGTAAAAAAACTTTATTTCTCAAATCAGATTTATTGAGTTATCGAGGGTGTGTTGAAGTTACACAGTATCACAGTATGTCAGCAGAACATCTTTCTCTTCATCTTACTCTAGAGCTCGCTGCTCAGCTCCATAGTCTCATCAGTGACAGAATAAAGGCATGGTCCATATGCAGATTTTTCTTTCTGAGGTTGCAATATAATGAAGCAATATTTTTTACATTAACATTTATCAAAATACTTTCTATAATGTGAAATTGTTGCTAGTTCAAGAATCAAACCAAGAATCAAGACACTGCTCACAGATATGGGTTGTACATTACCAGGTGAAATAATGGCTTGCTGATTGACGGAGTGGCTTTTGACGAAAGGTATTTAGTTGTGCATTAAGTGCCAGATATTCTTCTTAAAAACTGTCTGACCAAAGCAGGAAAAAGTGCTTGTGAATACTGGAAAAATGACACCAATGTCCTGTGTTGCTCTCTTTCTGCCGGATGTGTAAGTAGGTAACTGTCACCAAAGGAACTTAAGCTAGTTCCTGTGAGATTTTTATATCTTCTAATGTTAAAAAACACACTAACTTTCTAACTCAATCTCACTGTACTTCAAGAGTTTCCCAGTAAGGTGCAACAATGCACACTGTAAGGAAACAGGACACTTTAATATACAACTCATCAGTTAGTATGGGCATATTGCAGTGATGTCATGCAGAGAGTTGGCCTTTAAGATTGAAATTAGTATTGATTAGGTGTGGTAAATATAAGTGGACCTCCTGGTAAATGTTTTGTCTTAGTCATACTTAGTAAAAAAAGGGAATGTCTTAACACTAACTAAAAACAAATCTCCTTATAAATAAATATGTGATGTTATAGTGTATAGAATTATTAATTTTGGATGGAAAGAGATTGCATAGCATACACGTTTATTATGTTCACTTTGTATTTTAATCTGGATATCTTTTCAGCAGCAGCAGAATATTTTAGCATTTCAAAATCACACCTTAATAATGAAGAGGGAATCAGTGAACAGCTACAATGCATCTGACCAGAGTTCTCAATGCAGGAAGGACAGACAGATCAGAACAGATCATTCTCAAACCCTGCTTACTCTTATTTTACTGAACATGTTATTGTAATTCATTGTGCCTCTGTTTTTTTGCGTGCTCTGAGCACTTGTACCATTAAAAAAAGACAAGTCCAGCTTGCTTCAGCACATCGTGTTCAAGCCATATCTCTATTCTGGACCTTTCTTGTTGATCATACAGGTCTCCTCATCTGGCTGGGTGTAGATCATCTTTGGAAAAGGATACAATCCCGACTGTGCATAATACATTTTACTGTTTTATAAGAAAATACTTAACTGTTTTATAAGGAAATATAATATTTAACTCAAAATAACAATAACATTGAGTAGTGGTTTTACAGTTTGTATACCAGTCAAAGTTATTTCAAATATTTTAGTATTTTCTAGTTTCAACGTCTTCTTTGAGAATGTTTGGGATAGTTTAATGTCATCTGATATTGGTTTCTTTATCTTATGTAAATTACAACATATTACAACATAACAAATCTACAAATGGAGGAGAGTGGAGCGTGATGTTGGTAATGAGTTTATATGTGTCTGTTAACATATGTGATTGAAGTCATACAAAATTTACGACTCATTAGTCCTCTGCTTTTTCAGTCCACCCTCCTCTCCTCCTCCCTGCACTTCATCGGGATGAAGTGAGATGCTATATGCTCCCTCCTGGTCTTCTTCCCTCGCATTGGCCTTCCCTTTTGAGAAAGGGCTATGAACATTTCTTTGCCATTTTTAGTCCACTTTGCAGAGGAGTAAGCATTGAAGTAGTTTTCTAGGAAAACCTCCTTGAAGTTGCAGTTTTCGTTGTAGATCCTCTGTAAAAGACAAGAAAACATTACAGCACTGATGCAATACAATCTGCTGTTGCTAACATATGGTCAGTTCTTCGTCTTGATTATTCAAAAGGATATTCTGCAACAGTTGTTATATTTCTAATTGACTGTGGATTACCTGAAAACCGTGTAAGACTTTTCTCATTGAGGAAAAATATTACCTTGCCTTGCAGCTGTCCAGCCTTGTTCATAGAGATATAAAACTGGCTCTTCACGCCTTTGATAGCCAGTATGCCGCCCTCAGACACTGTCCTGATCTCCAGGATACCTGCCAGACGTTCAGACATTTAGGAAAATGAGACATATCACAGCACAGATAAGACACTATTGACATCCAGCTTTCACTCCAGCTCCACACTGCTCTCAACATTCATCTTCATTAACAAATGGGATGGAAGTTCCTGTGGTTAATCAGTCTGTGGTCTCTCTGGCTTCATTCAAGCCTTGTTAACTGGCCTGGGTGGCCATTACACAAACCACAACCTATGCCATAGCACATATGGGAGACAGATTAGGCCTCTCTCTCCTGGGATTGAGAAAACTACCTCCTTGCATGTGCTTTGCACGCTACATTTTAGGCCTGCTCTTCAACTTTGTGGGAGAGTAAAAACAGTTTTGCTTTTTACTATTTTGGTTTGTGAATTTTTTTAGATCTATTATAACATTCAACTTTAAAGAATGGGGGTATGTTTGACTATATTTCTTGAGTTTATATTAAAAGGGCATTACTTTGATTATTAATGAAAATATTGTGTTGAAAACTTGAAACAAATACTACTAGTCTTTGCATTAAAACACAATGTGTTAAGACTTGAAGAGTAGATAGGTAGAAAATGCAGAAAACAGGCTAGAGTGGGACACTTTTAAAGGCTGAAATTACAACTTTAAATATACAAATGCAGATCATATATACAGCAATATTTCTAAATATATATTATATTAAGAACATATTAAGAACACTGGCAGTAATGATTACAGTATGGTGTTTCACCTCCTTTGAAACTGAAGGAGCAAATTACTTGCTGGACTTTAAAGTAAGAATTCATTTTGCGCAGATCACTGATTATTAGATCTACTTGGCTCAATTAAACATTTAAAATCTTTGTTCATCATAGAAAAAGCTTTTACATTAATAAAGTATAACGTTTGCTTAGTCCATGTCATTGAAGGTATGATGTTACTATCACAGATTTGGTAAATCATAAAACATTAACTCAAAAGCCCAAAACAGCAAGACTAAGATTAACACAAAAATATGCATTTCAAGGAGATCAACAAGGTCCAGATCATTGATTTGTGGGTAATATAAAAATTGTGTTGTTCATTTTTACATATTGCAGAAATCCTTTCATTTGACAGGCAGAGAAAAAAGGAAAGAACTCTCTTCAGGCAGACATTGAGCATGCTGCATTGTAGTGTCTGATTGCAAACAGATGGCAGTTTCCCAATCTTAAAATGTTGTTTGTGTTTTGCTTGCACTTGATATTTGATTTAATATTACTGCCCTTTGGCTGTGTGCTCATATTTATTTAACCCAGCTTTTCTATTACCATGTTTGATTTTATTAATCATGACATGGTGAAAGTTCAAATGAATGCTGTTAGAGCTACATGTTAATTTGTAAACCCCTTATTCAGTTAACTATTCATGTCTTAATTTACCATACATTGTTTTTTTTATGGTTGTTAAGAAGCATAGCATCTTCTGCCATTCCCATAATATTACATGTATCAGCTTCAGTTGTTTGGTCTACTGTAGAAAGATGGAACACACTTCCACACACACATATTGTTAACATTTTGGCTCTGACGTGGGTAGCCTCAGGCCATCCTCAGCTTGAACAGATTTGTTATCACTCTCTGGTCCAACCCCTGGCTGAGTAAACTAACTTGTGGGTAATCCCTAATCCTGCTTTTTCTGAACGGAGTTTAAATCCAGTGTTTACATTTGCTGGATGTTGCAGACAGCCTTCCAGTAATAGTGCATTACTGTGCAGTGGAATTTCAAATACCTTAACAACACGTAATGTCTAGAAAGATTTATTTAATTAACTTTTATTCACTTCGTCTTCAAATGTGATGTCTAATCCTTATCTGCACTGAAACCACAAAATACTATATCTTTATCAGATTATCTTTATTACATTAATAGCGAGTACAGGATACAATCAGTCTCTCAATTATTTTTAAGTGGCTGCACCTGACACCAGGTCTATAATGCCACAATCTGAGTGCTGTTTCCCCACACCTTTTTAGATTTCACTGTTTGTAATTCACTGTTTTCCAGTCATCATGCTGCAGTTGATAACTTCTTGGAAGTTGTTTATCTGTTCTTTGCTGTGGCTTAACGAAACTTTTTTATTGATATTATTATCACATTTTGGTTAAACTCAAATTAAGTTGTCCCATAGTCTTTCACTTGTATACAAACATGGTAGTAATTACCATTTTACTATGTTGACTGATCTATCTGTTATCATTATATGGGTATGTTTGCTTTCGAGGATTTGTTTACACATTCAGTACATTTGCTGGAAACTATTGCAATACCCCTGACCAGAACACACATATTATGTTTTAGAAACATTTCTAGAACAGTTTTATTCTGACGTCCCAATATCAGTGCTAGACTTTTAAGTTCTCTATACATTGCAAATACAAAGGCTTTTAAGAAATATCAAAATCTACATAGCAGATGTTTAGATTTATTGATCTAAACAACCATTTGAAATGTAATAATGTTAGAAAAAACTGCAAGAAATTAGTTCACTGGAAGTAAGCCTACATTTTTTATTGAAGAGGCACAGGGCCAGAAATAATGCAGATCCAAGTTTCTCATTTTGGTTTCTTCTTTTTTACTTTCTCTTTTGGTAAAAAATAAAAAACCTTTATGCAATCAGCCTTTCAGGGCTTCTTCTTCACTGCAGCCAGAAAGTATGACTCACTGATTTATTACATATATATCCACACCAGTCTCTTCAAAGGCTTATTGGTTAAATTTCTGTGTGCCTATAGCGTGCGATTGTCAGCCACATCAGGGTGGATCAATTCTTCTGTCTTTCATTGCCAATTGTTGCACAAGCATCTTTTCCATCCACTTTGAGGCATTTCCCTGTCATGCCAACATTCCAGCCAAAGCCACACTGTCAGATAGGAGGAAATGATAACTACTTAAAACATCCTCACCATGACAGAGATTTCCAGTAGTATCGGAGTACACAAACTTTGAAAAGTGTTGGCTCGAAAAGAAACAATTTTAACAATTGAATGTGTTAAATTACAATTACCATGGCTAGCAACTCTAATTCGATTCAGTGGTTAACTGGCGTGTAGTATTTGACAAACTTTGCTTTTAATTTTATGGAATAGTAATTTTGGACTAGACACAGTATGGTGGCTGTCTTTGTATGAGATGTCATTTTCTAACCAAAGGTTCATTAGAAAGTGAATATCATCCATTTTCTAATTCTTGAATTCTAATTTCTAATATTCATTCTAATTCTTTGTCCCGATATTTCATCCTGACACCGTACGTTTGTGGGAGAGTAAATCCGGCTGAACAAATGTGAGTCAGTGCCCATGTGAGCCCGAGGTCACAGGGGCCTGGCACCCATTAGTCTCCAAGACCCTTCAGTTTACTTCATTACAGCCTGTGTTTACATGGTGTTATGGTTTAACAAGCCAAAGACCCCCCCTGCTTCATTTTACCTCTGTCACTTTGGCTGCTCGAACAGAGACTCATGACCCATTAACACTGTGATTACACTGTGAAGAACTCCCACGTGCTTCTGTCACCTTGACAGGCTAAAGGTTCTTTACTGACTCAGTGGAAAGAGCTCAAAACTACATTTATAACATTTAAATGGGTACATTTGTGTATTTTTTTTATTACTAATAAATACAGAGAAACTTATTGAGGTTTTATAATAAGACAAGAAGAGTCATCCTTACTGTGGCAGTTGGTAGGATCTTGAGTCCCATTGATGTTGCCATTGTCATCAATTGTCAGGAACCATTGCGTGCGGCTGAACAGCTGTCGGATGCGCACATCTCCTCCCTCCATGTAGTCGTAGTTCCTGGTGTGGCGCTCGTGTCTGGAGCAGTTCATGATGGCGGCAAGTTGCTCTGGAGTGCAGTCACTGTAGACCACACACACACTGCTGAACAGGAAGATTGCATGCAGGTACAGTCCCGAGAACAGATTTTGAAGGTTCCATGTCAGCATCCATTTGCGCATTATAATACAATGCAGTGGGGATCAATGAACAACATACTGAAACGTGAGATAGAGATCTGTGCGCTATCCCTCAGCCCAGCGATCCCCTGATCCCTGACTTGTGACACTTGTGTTGGGACCTCCGGGTCCCTGTTCCCTCTGAAGCTGGAGAGTGGTGTGAAGAAGAAGACAGGTGGAAGTATTATGAGTTGATGCCTGTCTTTAGTCCTCAGTGATGGTGTGTGTTGATGGCTCCATTCTCTTGAGACCATAATCCGACAAGGGATGTCATAATCCAGTTCAGGAAATGTTATGCAGGATTTCACTATAAAAAAAAGTAGACTTAGATATTTTTACTCACAGACTTTTTATACAAATTGAAAGATTTTTGTTAAAGCAGCTTCAAAACAATAATTACTGATTTCTGGGATCTACCAAATTCTATTGTCAAGAATTACATCAATTGAAAAACAACTTCAAAGAGGTCTCGTTTTCTGTGTTCATACAAATATGTATTCTACATTTCTTGGCAGTAAATACACATTTCTGTGGTGTACTTAGTGTCTTAGACCCAGAACAGTGAAATATTGTCATCAATGCTGTTCGATTGCTTTACAAGTCTAAGGTCTGTTATCTCTTCTGTATCAGCATACATACAATATTTACTTTCAAACAAACTATGCAGCTTATCTTGTTAAAAAAAAATCTTTAGATGTTTAATTTAATGACTTACATGTGCTCTGAGTGACGACAGGAGTTGTCAGAGGTGTTTTCCCTTTCAGCAAGAGTTTTAATTTGAAGACTCTTTAGTTCTAAAGCTGTAGTTTCAGTTGTAAACCAAGCCCAGTAATGCAGTAAATCTGAGCAAGAGCTGGGAGCTTCTGTCAATTCCCATGGATGTCTCCCTGATTCTGGCAGGCTGACTCTGTGCATCTTCCACTGTCGCTGTGCACTCTGCTTAGATAAATGCCTTCTGCTGACCTCACTTGAGAGCAATTAGATCCCAACCAGTCAGCTGTCCCTGGCCAAGATGCAATGGAGAAACACCCTCTGCCTGCTTCTCACTGTCACTCACCCACCAGACATGAGAGGGAGCTATAAACTCTTAGAATAGCAGGCTCTCCTTGGTATGCACTCCTAAATACTTAAAAAAAATTTGCATGCACATTCACCCTCACATAACTTACTACAACATCTGCCTTTTCCAAGAAACATATTGCACTTAAATAGGTTTGTGCTGTGCTTGTAACAGATCTCAATGACTCACATTTACTTAAGCAATGGTTAAGATATTTACTCTGATGACAAAGCTTTAAAGAATTCCTTCCCTATCATTTTAAATGTCACAATTAATTAGTGGTTTTGCTTAGCTGCACTGCATTATTGGTACGGATTTATTGACTCAAGTGAAAAAACTTCAAAGAAGCCCTTTAGTTCTCATTCTTATTGAGTGCAAAAGTAGGAAGCAATAAGTTATGGTTGGCAGGTATCCATCCAAGGGGAGAAAAACAGAAGACATAACTGCTCAGAAGTAGTCATCTCTGTGGCAGGGGTCATGCACTCTTTCACTTTTTGTGTTTGTATTTAAAGTCACAATTTATTGCCTTACATACCTGGCCTTTCCTTGGACTCAGTACTTCAAAAGTTTATATGGGCCCTAATGACATGCTCCCCTGGGGAGGTCAGGGCTGCAGGCCTGAGAGAGAGGGACTTCTGGACGCAGCAGGTTTCCCTCTCATCTCAAAACTGGGAGTCATAAACACCAGATCTATTAAGTGTCACTCTGGCCAATCTGTCCTTCCTATCACCTCAGAGACAGTTCACACACACGTCTTTTGGACACATAGGCCAAAGAAACATCATTTAACATATCACTTCAGGCAGCCACCATATTACACCAGAGAACTAGACATTAAAATCAAGGATCTAGGGAATTTGAAAAAAGCCCCAGCACTTGGGGTGCCAGCACCACCAGGTGAGATATCAGGCCCTAGGAAAATACTTTGTTTGAATCTTGAATTTAAAAAAAATTGTAGAAACAGGTGGACTGCAGTTTGAGAATTTTACAGACCCACTATACATAAATTGATATCTTCTCATGGTGTGAGTGACCCTCAAAGCTGTGTTGCCAGGGGCAGGTATCACCTGGTAGGGTCCCCTGAGAAAAATGCTGCCAGGAGAGGGGCCAGACAAGGCAATACCCTACCCTGGTGGGGGAAGAAGCTGGAGCCAGTGTAAGAGATTGACAATACCAACTAGCTGTAGTTGTCCTAACCATAACACACAGCACCAGCTATGATCAGCTGAGAAACCAAATTCAAAGGTAGGGGCTGTACTCTGATCCTTTCCAGAGATGCCCAAGGTGATGGGTATGGGGGGCATTTGGGAATCCAAAGATTCCCCCGGCTATGCTTGCAGTATCCAGTCTTCTTGTAATGTCTGTTATGGACTGACTTGTGCCAGAAGTGAAGGAGTTAACAAATCAAAAAAGGAAGATTGACTATGAAATTGGCAGGTGGATTTGAGCAGCAAAACCCTCAAATTACTAGTCTGTCTACGTTCTAAAACTGTTCCTACCATATGCCCATGACCTTGAACTGAAAGAATATCACAGATACGAACAGTTCATCATGTGCCAGATATCTAGAGCCAGGAACTGATATATCCAAAAGCCGGTAAAGGTTAGTCAGGCATCTGATTAGTGTGTGTTCCTGTGGAGGTGTTTCTAGTATGTCCAACTTGGTGCAGAGCCAAAACATGTGTGAAATATTGCATACCCTCTCTGACTTTGGAACACCTCAGGATCTCTTAAGAATAGCTTGTAGAGAGAACATAGAAGAAGAACATTTGGGATTATTTCCCCAGTTTGTCACCACCACGACCCTGACTTGTAAACAATGTAAAATAGTGATAGCATTTTGAGATAATTGGCATTGATCGATGTCTGTGCAGATACACAAAAAATGTATTCAGTCACATCTGCAAGCAACCTTGTTAGTGAGGCTGGTGAGAAACTATGTTAGTGCTCCCCCTTGTGAGTTTTGGGAAGGTGGTGAAAAAGTTGTTTTCCAGTCCTGTGCTATAACTCTCATACATCCTACTGTAAACACACACCTGAATGTCCTATAGATTAGAACAGATTTATAAATGACTTTTCTTTATTTTGATATTTCCATTATATATCAGCTATCAGCATCCCTGCTATCTAAATATAATATCCTAATATATCTAAATATCGGTCGACCACTAATGTAAAAAAATTAAATGATGGAAGGCTCTTCCACTTCACCACTTCCTTTTTTACTAAGTATCTTTGTGTGTCACCATTCCCATCAATAATGTCTTGGGGAAAGGTCACTTCCTATACTGTCACTCATCCAAATGCTGGACATTTAGTTGATTGCAGCAGTTAAATGTACCTCTTTGTAGAGTTTTTTAAGAGCCCTAAGGGCTAAGGTTAAGGACGACATCATTGACCTGATGAGGAAAGGGGAGACAAGGAAGTTGTAGACTTTCTCGTTTGTTCTTGAATGGCGTTTGGGTTTACCCATGTGACCTTTGCTTTGACTTACAGCATATCAGATTTCTTTTTATCCTCTGGATGGATACATTATCTTTGTTACAGTAACAGTTTTTTCCCCATAGATTGTGCAGAAGTGGCTTAAACCTGCATCCTTTCTAACGGCCAGCAGGGGACGACTCCAATGATTACAAATCAGTAATCTGTCTGATTGTAAGCTTACGAGTAAATAAACCTACTTCTCACTTAATTTGTTACCTCAGTAAAAATTTTATGGTTTCAATTGCTAGTTTAAACAATGATCCCATTTAGAGTAAAATAGACAATGAAGCAGGGTGTGCTTTAGCGCACGGCTACCACGTTATTGACCACAATGTGTCTTTGGTTCTCAGTCAGATCCAATCAGGATAGAGGCGTAGCATTGTTTATCTCCCCCAGGTCTACCCTTTCGTCCAAGCACGGTCACTTCTGGCTCCAAAAAAACAAGAAGGTGACGGCCCTAATGCCTAATTTGTATTCCACAAACCAATGGTTGACATCATTGATGTCCACTATTTAATATACAGATGGTTTTCCCAAGTATTTATTGCTGAATCAGTCCATTGTTTTGCTTGTCACTGTTGTGTTCTCTCCAATCCATTAGTGTTTTAAGCCTCAGCACTCCAAGACTGTAAAATGATCTGCTCGAGGACTTACTTACTATCATCTATACTGGATTATAAATGACTCCTTACAAACAGATCTGGAGACACTGTTCTTTTAGTTGTTTCTTGTTTCTTGCATTTTTTGGTTACTTTTTCTCCTTCCCTTCCTTTTTTATGTTAATGGTTATTGTTATTATTATTATTACTATTAATTAAATAATTATTAGTATTACTTAGTGAAATTGTGAAATTAGACTGTAATGCAGTGCTGCGGTAAGAGAATCATAAGGCTACTAGCATGCCTGGAAATGGAAACTTGAAAGCTGTGCATCCTTAGTTGACATGTCATGTATAGCGTATATACTGCAGTCATTCAGTACTTGGACTTTAATCTTTAATCTGTGTGTGTGTGTGTGTGGTGTTGTGTGTGTGTGTGTGTTGGTGTTGTTTGTGTGTGTGTGTGTGTGTGTGTGTCGTGTCGCGTGTGTGTGTGCCGTGCATATGTTGTTGCAGGTAGCTTTGGTTTTATCAGCCTGAATGGCTGCCTTCTGCCATTCAAGGATCAAAGGCCCAGAACTGTCTGGAGTTTACAGTAGCATAGGAAGTGCAGTGGCCGTGAGGCAGGCACACTAAACATGCGTGAGTGAGCCTCTTTAAATCTCAATGACTGTATGCCTTTGCTCCCATCAGTCTGCCTCACTACTTTGTTTATCTCTTTCTTTCTCTCTTTTTCTGTTTCTGTTTTATGAGTTATTTGCTGTTTTGATGAAGTGGAGGTCAGCGTCTAAAATCTTACAACTCCTTTTAATGGATTCCCATTGTTGAATGTTGTGTTGAATGTTGTTGAAGCCAATAGAGAATCTGTGAGGGTTTTGATGATTGCAGTGTAACACGCAAACATGCAAGCTCACCATAAACTCAAATCCCGTTCCAACTCCAAATTCAGACTAACCTCCAGCTCTAGACTCAGAGCCTTGATGTGTGTCTGTCTGCGTCATCCAGCATAAAATCACAGTGGCATCATCAGTCGGTCTCATTGCTCTTTCTTGTTAAGTTTAAGTGTTTATTAGGCTTATGTTTAACCTTTCTTACAGCATTGTACCATTTTATAGAGATAACTAGAAAAAAGGTAATTGTTTTAGTAGTTTTGTGTTGTTTAACTGTGGACTAGTTCAGACATGGTAAGTGTACAGCATTACACTCAAGAATCTGGGGATTTATGTACAAATTTCCTGAACAAAGTACAATGTTGTGGAGAAATATTTGTCACGCAAATCACACATCACTTTATTATCCAAAGGCCCACTAGATAAGCAGTTGTTCAACAAGTTGTTTCCAATCTCTCCTATGCGGGACAGGAATATTGCTTTGTGATTTATCACCCTCTTGTATCTGAAGAACCTCTTGGAGTGTTAGCACATAAGGCTAGATCCACAATTTAATATACTTTCCACTATTACTGCAGAGACATCTGCCTATACGCAGGGTCTGCTCTCAATACTCTAAAAGCATTCCTGAAGAGAGAATAGACTGTGTGTGTGTGTGTGTATGTGTGTCTTGTAGTGATATGACTGCATTTATGCTGGGAGAATGGATTATATTTAAGGTCAGTCTATTCTTAGCACTGTTTTAGACTGTTTGGGTTTAGCTTTTGCTTTCTAAATTCCATGATAATTGGGGATCTCTAGGGATGGAGCCTCACAACATTAGCTCCAACTATAAATAACTATCTTACAAACACACACACATACACACACTATACACTCATGCAACCTTTTTAACAAAGATTTTTTTGGGGGTAAAATAGCAGTTGAACTGCTTGTAAA